TATAAGATCTGCTCTCTGTCCTCCATTTCCACATCGCTCCGTCGCATTCTGGCAGAAAGTGTTGCTGCATTATGGGTAATTCTGCCGATGAGTGACGCATCGTAAAGTCCCTCCTGCGCTGTGATTGGTCCAGCCAGTTTACCAGACGGAATTATGCTGCGTGTGACACGTTGTGGCTGACCCCTGGTTCCGTTACCCTCTGTCACTACATGATCCGTAGCGGAGGCTGCGGCTGCGACTAGGGTTGTCAAAAGTATCGATACTCAAAAAAACATCGATACTGAAACGTTGTATCCGGATACAATACTCCTTTTTTTTTAAAGTATCGATACATTGCCACCACCAGTGGCACCTAAGCAGTCATTCATCTAAAATCCAGAATAGAGGAAAATGCACTTTCTGAACACTGTGTGATTGAATAATTCTACGCACTTTTCAGTTTCAGACTTTTTTTTTTTGTAACAGGTGCAGCTGCTGAGAATTATTTTAGTTTAACCGGTTTGGCCAGTGTCATTGTTATGTGTGCAAAGCATAGCCAAGGAAGGAACCCTTAATTTTAATTTTATAAGTTTTTTATCAAGTTTGCTTAATATTGTGCACAGCAAACAACCTCAAAATATTGTTCTTATTGTTTATTGTATTTATTTATTGTATTTTATTTATTAATGAAAATATTTCTGTTGAATTTTGGAGTCTTTATCCTTGTGGTATCGAAAATGGTATCGATTATCAAATATTTTCCTTAGTATCGGTATCGAGTTTAAAAGTTTAGTATCGTGACAACCCTAGCTGCGACCCCCGTAGCGGAGGCTGCTGAATCTTATAGATTTTGTGAAACAATGATTGGTGAGTTCACGGTGACATCCTGGGACATTCTATCTCTGCCTGCCTCGGTGAAACCAGAAGGCAGTGAACGGGAGCTGCAGCCTCTGATCCAGCCAGGCTCCCCGTCTCATCACAGTCATCTAAATCTAATGGAGAAGGCATATGTGAATGAAAAAGCATTACTGTAGAATAAACTCATCTCCCCCTGACTTAAATAAACGAGCGTCACCTTTCTCTCGCTCCCTGAACTGCGGAGCAACTTGGTAGCATGTTTAATAACCCCAAAGAGAGCTAGGAAACTGATTGATTGATTTAAACTAGCTACTAACCACCAGAGTTGCCTTCAATGCTGGTCGTAAATTTAGTTTCTGTCCGGAAGCATCAAAAACACAGCATTCGTTAAAATGTCTGCCATGTTGTGTGAGCAGGTGTTGGATGTATTTCCTCCTGCAGATGTTATTGCCACTTTAAAATGATTGCAAAGCGCCTTGTTGCCATCTTTCTCTTCCTTAAAATGAAGCCAAACTTTCGATCACTTTGAACGCTTTTGTTTTGCTTTTCTAGACTTCCAGCTGCTGCCCTAACCCGACCGCCCTCTCCTGTCGGATTACCCAAAGCTTTAAAGATGTCAACCGATCAGATCCTTCCTGGGTCCTTGGAGCTAAAAGCTGACTGATCCTAAATGTTCTTCATCTCCTTCTGTCTCCAGAGTNACTAATATTCCTCCGTAGTGCTGATGAATATCTAGGACCAAAATAAGCAGGTTATTATTAAAGGTTTAGGATTAAGGGCTGAACTGAGTCTAGGTTAGGATTAGGGAAGCTGTACTGTCAGGGTTAGGCTGTAGGAACTGGTTAGAAATGAATGGAAGGTCCCTATGAGGATGAGGAACCATGACGTGTGTGTGTGTGTGTGTGTGTGTCCAGGCTGTGGGACAGCAGATCCATGGAGGAGGTGAAGACTCTGATGTTTGAAACGTCCGTTAGCAGCATGGAGTACGTCGCTGATGGGGAGATCCTGGTGATAACCTACGGAAAGACCGTGGCGTTCTACAACGCTCTGAGGTAAGGCCAGGCGGATCGCCGATGGCTACGGCGTTCTGGTCACCATGGAAACTAACCTCCCACCTCCTCCTGTTCAGTCTGGACCTGATTAAAACCGTGGAGGCGCCGGCTCCCATCAACTCGGCCTCCCTGCATCCAGACAAGGACTTCTTTGTCGCCGGCGGCGAAGACTTCAAGCTCTACAAGTTTGACTACGGCACCAAGGAGGAGCTGGGTGAGGCTGAGGGGTTCGCTGGGACTGACGGGGTCATCCGCTCACAACCAATCAGATGCCACTCAAAGCGCCGCGTTTATATTCTGTCAATCATCTCAAACTGTTGAGCAAATTTCTGCAGCTTTTGCCTAAAACCAGAGGATATAAGATCTGCTCTCTGTCCTCCATTTCCACATCGCTCCGTCGCATTCTGGCAGAAAGTGTTGCTGCATTATGGGTAATTCTGCCGATGAGTGATGCAGTCCTGCGCTGTGATTGGTCCAGCCAGAGTGGGCGGCGGTTTACCAGATGGAATTA